TAATCAACTACACTACTGTGTCCACGGTCCCACCAGGGACGATAGTACACGTAATGTATGGACTACCGAGTTGCCTACTCAGTCTTCACGATTCTTGTGTTGGAAAGGACCTTCAGGCACGGAGCTGAGGCGGGCTTCCACCCCCGTTTTCGGCCGGGGGGATTCTAGCGATCGGCCGGCCACGAGGTTCTCAGCTGGTTGTAGTGGTCGGTGCTGTGGCTCCCCTCATTCTTCCTCACTTTCTTGCCGATGAAACGTCTTAAATCCGATTCGGACGAGACGAACCTCATAATGCATAATTTTCTCTATGTTTCTTGTATATATAGCTTTGATGACCCTACATAATCATACCTAATGATGTGTGAATGACATATAATACCATTTATTCCCTGTTTCTTCGAGGTTGTGCACTAAACAAAAACTCAAACCCATCCGTCCCCCTGAAAGGAAATTCAAAGATGCACTGGCTCAGCTGAGAGTCCCAAACTCTGCCAAGCCGGAGCGGGTCGTAGTCGGGTCGGCTACAAACCTACACCAAACAAACACTCTTAGTGGTTCTCTCTGACAGACTCCGTCCTTTCCTCCCCAAGTCCCAAGGAACCTTGGCGATACACCCACAAAGGCTTATTTCGATTCCAGTTTAGCGTCCGATGTTCATGTCTCTGCCTTTCTATGGCATGATCCTAGTCACTTCCGAATTCAACAGGAAAACTTCGGAAGATCTCAACGGCAGATAATTATCAATCTATTCTGTCTGCAGGATCGCTAGGGGCTGGTGAAAACATCAAATGCTAGTTAGTGGGTATGTCGGGTAGTGCGAGAAACACAACACAGTGCTCGCACTAATACACACTCGTCGGTTTCACCCGATGCTATTAATTGACTTTTTTGTTTTGTTATAAACTTTATCATTGAGTTCAGGCTGTGCCATGGTGTGCTGTGCTGTGCTATGCTATGCTTTCCTTGCTCTGTATGAATGATTATCTCTAACTTTTCTATTGGCTGGTTGTTAACTCCGTAGCCACTCCTCCTATTATTCAGTACTATTCACTAGATAGTAGATACTTAGGTCGGTCGGATAGAACGAAGGATGCATATAAGTGAGACACTCTTATCTCCAATAAACTTTCCATTTTCCAGGGCAGGAGAGAACAAACTCAGTATCTAGTTACTAACTACCTACATTCCTATCTCGTATTCGTACTAGCATAAATTAATACACTACTATCTATTTATCTATCTACTCCGTACTACTGCAGGGGTAGTAGCCTCGGTACAATGCTTCCCTCCCCCTCATCAATAAAAATAACTAATATTCCTTCCTCCGCCTTGGCTTAGCTTGGATAGTTTTTGCACGGAAGTTAAGCGAAGCGAACTGTGACAGGGGTGGTAGCTGGTGAGATTTTAGATCGGTTCGGTAAATGCGTAGTTTAATATCGGAATCACTTGGCGGGCGAGCTTGGCTGTTGTGAATTGTGATGGTGTGGTAGTATTTGAGTATGGGGTTTGTTTGGGTTTAGTGTGGTTTTTTTAGTTAGTCTAGTAGTTAGTGTAGGTTTGGTGTTGGTGCTGTTGTTGTTGCCTGTGCGGTTACTTAACTAGTTTGTTGTTTGGGTTTGGGTTTGGGTTTGTTGTTCAAGCACGGATCGGACGGCATTGTGTGTCCTTTGGGAGGGAGTTTGGGGTGTTTTAGAGTTTTTGTGTGTTGTTTTGGTATGTGGTTTGGCTTAATAAGTTACTACTGCTCATGAGGTGGGTGTATTATTATAAGTTGGCAATTTTTATTATTAAGTTAGGTGAGTGTTGCAGGGATATGGTGGGCTGGGTCGAGTATAATGGTTTAAAAGGCGATTAGACACACGAGTTTGCACTATAGTGATGGAAAATCGCACATGGACAGTCCCGAGCCATCGCTCAATGTCGCCCACGGGTTAGACAGTATGTGTGGTGAGGGGATAGTTAGATGCAAACCACAGTATTAGGAACTTGAAAGCTTTTAGTTTCCAGTATAGAAGTGTATATTCTTGGTCGAACTCGTATTCGAGTATTTGAAGTTGGGCCATGTCGGTCTAGTCTCTGTACTATATGGGACAAATAGATGAGAACACAACGGTCAGGGGGGTAACTACGCTAGAAGGACAAGCATACAGAGGCCCATAATATGTCCCCAGCTGATATTTAGAACTGCTTTTCGTAGTCTTATGTAGTTGCAGTATTGTTGCACCATTATTTGGGGGAACATTCTATACTCCCAGCCGGGGTTAACTGAAATATATTGTTGAGTTTAGATTCCAATGGCAGGTCGCGGCACCCATTCAAATACTAAGTTGTCTCTATTTTCAGATCACAAGCATTATATCATACTCGAACATATGAAAAAATAATGTAACATTATTGAAAGGCCAGCCCCTTTTCATAGACAATTTGATGGATCGTACTCTGCGCCACTGCAACTTACGAGAACATATCCTCCGTCCGTCCTAGATATCGACTACGAATCGCCTGACTAATTGTGCTCATGCGACTGGCCATGCCACCGTGCTGAATATTGCTCAAAAGTGCTTCCTCAAGCGCGGACTGCGTGACGCTCGCATCTAGACCAAAAGTCAGTATGTTATCATGCAAACACAAGAAAACCTCACCATCTAGATCACTAAAGCTGCTCCCCATACTAGGCGTCCCGTCACTTGCCTCTCTCCTTAAAGCCATAGATTGTCGTGGACTAAAATGTGCCAATTCCCCTGTCCGTCTAGGACTCAATGGCCCCCCGCTTTGATTCAACCGTCGCCGTCTATCGGATTGTGGATGTGCAACTGGGACTCCAGAGCTAGCAGAGCTTGCGGAAGACTCGGTCGTGACTGAAGTTCTGGAAATCATTTGTGCCGATGGGCGTCGATGTGACTCAGAGGCATCCTCGGCGTTCATTCTTAGCGTAGCATTGAGATCCTGCCCAGATGCTTCATGCGACGCCCTTTCAGGTTCTGGCAGGAAAGCAGGGGACTCGTCTTCATCCTCCTCGTCGTACCTCAGGCCAGCCCTATGTGTGGAGAATTTGCCGAAGGGGGGCTTGAATCTTAGACCACGACGACTTCCAAAGGCGTTGTCGTCGTCGGATTCAGACTCGGATGAACTAGATGTTGTGTCATCTTCCAGAGGGGGAGACTTCGGAGCCGGAGGCGCTGCAGCTTGCTCCCGTTTTCCGGCAGATGGCCGACTGGCATAGCTTTCGCGCCTTGGCTCTCTTGGCTCTGCAACAGGAGTATCGTTGCGAACTGGTTCACGAGCAGTCTTGACTTGATTGACGGTAGTTGTTGAGCTGGTACGTCGGGGAATGGGAGCTAGTTCGTTGACTATTAGTAAAAGATACAGGCATGAGGCCGGATTAAACTTGCCACGCTGTGGAAGACTATCTTTCTGCTGTGACGAGAGGCGCGACGGAGCTCGAGGGCCTTTGATTGTCAGAAGACTCAATGAGTATCATCGGAGAGCACTCACCTGCATTTGTGGCACCTTTTGTCTGTTGACCCAGCGCCGTGCTACCCGACACCGAACCAGGAGCAGGAGATGTAGACGTTGACTGTGTGGTGGGCACTCTACTCATCTGTGCACGTACTTGTGACAGCTGCCGATCGTAGAGCCATGCTGCTTGTTGAAGCAGAAACTGCAGTGTCACATCGAAATGATCTGCCCTACAGAGTTGATCAGTGATGCCCCAACACTCGATAAGGCCAATCGTACAGTGCTTTCCCTGTGGTATCGTCAGCATTCTGGATCTCAGACTATCATTAGGCCACACTATTACAGTCTAAATCATCTCCCTTTGAAGGACGCGAGAGAATATTCCACAGAGCCTGGTCTTTGGCAGCGTTCCATTCCACCTGTCTGGTCAGCGATATGGAGATCAGTTGACTAGCGGCACTTACCGGAGGAGGATCCACAAAGTCACCCCTGGGGAAGGGAAGGCGAATAAACACGGTGAACTTGGTGTCTCCGGACTGATTGAAGGACGTCATCGCGGACTCGTATCTGCGGACGTAAAACTACTTAAATACCCAGAAAGTACACGTCAACCAGCAAAGAAATAAAACAGATAATCTTTGCTGCTACTTGAAAGCCAGCATAGTGGATGCGGGTTGGGTGTGATGAATGCGGAGGATTGACGAGGTGTCACGCCTCCCCCGTCAGGGTCGGTGCGTTGCGATAACAGTTCGGCTTATCGAACTGCAATATGGGCTGGATTCTGCTATTTCCACCCTATTGCCACGGCTCCATCCATATACTCACGTGACATCCGCCTCACAAGGTTGCCTCTTTCCTAGTTGGGAAGAGGCAGCCTTATCGATGGTAACTTGCCCTGTAAGTACACTTCGAGGCATAAAGAGTACTTACTGCTGGAATATGCAAATCTGGGATCAATTGGGCATGGATGAGTTAGTCGGACACCCGATGATGATCTCTCATCATCTTCCTACCCAGGCGGAAATATATAGCAGCATAGGATGCCTTGAAATTGTGGTTTGACCAACAGAACATGAGCTATACTATGCAAGCGCTATTATAATATATCGAGAGCCTATCATAGGAGCAGTGTATACAAAAAGCTTCAATAAAAGCAAATTCCCGCCCCACCAGACAGGGTCAAGCTCTTGGCGCAATTTGGCCATGTTAACGTCAGCAAACTAAAATCCAACAGATCCTAGACAGCCTACCAACCCTAGTACGTCAGTGCTTCAGCCTACTGCATACTCCGCAATAGGTAGCCGATGCGTCGTCACTGGCAATGTCCAAGCGTCTTTTGGATGGATGCAGTCTGACAATGCGAACAATTACGCGGTCAGGTTTGCAGCCTACACTACATGCAAGTCGGAGTTGAATGGATGTATCTGCTTCATAGACCGGCATGATAAAAAACATATAAGGAGGACCGGTGCCCCAATCTCTCGACTCATCTTCATCATCTAAAATCGGTTTCTCACCTCTACTGCATCAGTATAGCAACAATGGCTGGTCCTGTCCCAAAACCAGAGTGCCTCCTGGGCTTCCACCAGGTCTTGTCACCCACTGCTGGTATCAAGGTGTCTCCGCTATGTCTGGGCACTATGAACTTTGGAACAACCTGGTCAGTCTATCCTGTCGCCGGCAATTGAACAAATGAACCACTGACATCTTGCAGGGAGCCATACATGGGCGAATGCAGCAAGGACGTATCTTTCGCAATCTTGGATACTTTTTTCGACCACGGCGGGAATTTCATCGACACGTACGTGCAGAAAGTATCCACTGACTCTTTCGACGAGCGACAGGCTTATGCTCCCTAGTGCCAACGTATACCAGGACGGACAATCCGAAACATGGATTGGAGAATGGATGAAGAAACGTGGGAATCGAGACCAGATGGTGTAGGTACACACCCTCCACCATCTGATTGCTACATTTCAGTATGTCCTGATATTGACAATGGCAGCATCGCAACCAAATACACGACTGGCTTTCGCCGCACACACGTCTCCACTGAGCCCATCCAATCGAACTTCGTCGGAAATTCAGTAAAATCCATGAACCTATCCGTCAAGAACAGCCTCGAAAAGCTCCAGACTGACTACATTGACATTCTCTACGTCCATTGGTGGGATTTCACCACCAGCGTGGAGGAAGTCATGCATGGTCTCAACGCACTCGTCTCGGCCGGAAAGGTCCTCTACTTGGGCGTCTCCGGTACTCCCGCTTGGTTAGTAGTCAAGGCAAATGCATACGCGCGCGCAAACGGACTAAGACCGTTCTCTGTCTACCAGGGCAAGTGGAATGCTGGATTCAGAGATCTAGAAAATGAGATTGTGCCTATGTGTCGCGACCAAGGGATGGCAATCGCACCTTTTGCAGTGCTAGGCCAGGCGAAGTTCAGACCCGCAGAGCAGCGCAACGCGGAGTATAAGGGCTCTGGACGAGCGGCGCTCCGGGCTGAGGAGGATGACAAGGTTTCTGATGTGTTGGAGGCTGTTGCCAAACGGAATGAGACAAGCCTTTATGCCATTGTGAGCTTCAACCTTATACCGACCTTCTGCGCCACGTATAAAAGCCGCCTAACTAATGTTTTAAACTCAGGCTCTCGCATGGGTCCGCTTCAAGGCACCTTACGTCTTCCCTATTATTGGACAACGGAGTGTAGCGCACATCAAAGCCAACATCGAAGCTCTGAGCCTCGATCTCTCGAAGGAGGATATGGATGAGATTGACAAGGCCATTGAGTTCAATCCTGCCTTCCCACTTGACTACCTCCTCGCCGAAAATTTCAGTACTGCATTCACCGCGGCAGATGTTCAATTGACGCAGTGGACCGCGCATATCGATGCTCCTACTCCTGTGATGCCGGTCAGACCGCGTAAGAATCTGTGAATTGACATGAGGGGTCGTGGGTGCTTCATCCGCTGTTGATGATATAGAGGGACGATAGAATCGCAGTCCTTATGGAGGCCACAGGAGATTAATGACCCATATCCGGGGTTAATTAGGCCATCAGAGTTGGATGTTGTCTACGATTTCAAATTTAGTCTACATGATAGCTTCTTAGTGCCTATGCCTTCCACATCTGATATAATACATTTCAAGAATGTTGTGACCTCTGTGAAAGTACAGTTCCATGGGTAATCGTATATGACCATAGCCTGCGCAGTTTCCTTATCTCTAGCAACAAGATTATCCAAGATTCTCTACCAGTACTCAATCTCTTGCTCCTGCCTCTCCTAGAAGGTGGCACGTTACGAATACCTCATATTGTTGACCACCTCAAGATATAATGAAGAAGACACTGATTCTTTTTTATAAGGAATTCTATATGTGTTATGCGGATGTTTTGGTACACAAAGGGCTCGTTGCCTATCCCAAAATCTCGCCCACAATTCACTGTGGAGAATTCGGGCTTTGTCTTTCACTGTTGACAGCTACGCCCAATGTGGCAGTCAGAATTCACCGGAAGCCACATGCCCCGGGAAATGAATTTTCATAGTCAAGCCTTGCCCCCACGAGTTCTCCTTCGCTTCCATCCTTCCTTTCTTTCCCAAGTCATTTTGTGTTGGTCTATGTTCAGACTCAACGCAGGTGCCTTCCTCTCCCTGCCGGCTCAACCGTCAACATGGCTATCGAAGAAGATGAAAGCGGCCCCAAGCATCTCAATAGCTCTGAGTTGCTCAAGAAGATCGACAAGCTGAGAGAGAAAAACATTGGAAAGCATGTTCCTCTTCCTCAGGTAAGACTATGTAACCTGGGAGAAACGTCAACAAGTGATACTGATCTTCATCCAGTTGGTTGTTGTTGGAGACCAGAGTTCTGGAAAATCTTCTCTTCTGGCAAGCCTGACCAGGATTCCATTTCCTCGTGATTTGGAACTTTGTACCCGTTATGCCACGCAGATAACCTCCCGTCGTGAGGACGATCGCTCGGTCGAAATCTCGATAATCCCTGCCGGCGATGCTTCCCTGGAGCACAGGGCGAAGGTACAGGGCTTTAAGAGGACCCTCAGAGGCACCAAAGACTTTCGCTCGGAATTTCCAGCAATCCTGAAGGAGGTTCGGATAGTCCAGTTCAACCGATGTTTAGTATTTCCTGGCAAAAGCTAACATTTTGAATAGGTCGACGAGTGTATGGGCATTCGTACTGACCTTTCGTCTAAGGAAGGATCGGTCTTCAGCAAAGACGTGCTCCGGATCGAGCTGTGCGGGCCTGAAGAGGACTACCTGACCGTCATAGATGTGCCGGGAATCTTCAGAGACCCGACACCTGGCATTACGACTGAGAGTGATATCGAGCTAGTTCGAGACATGGTCAAGAACTATATCAAAGATGCTCGCACGGTGATCTTGGCTGTGCTCCCAAGCAACGTCGATCTTGCTACCCAGGAGATCCTCAAGCTGGCCAAAGATTATGATGGAAATGGAGAGCGTACGCTTGGTGTGCTAACCAAACCGGATCTGGTGATCGAGCAAAGCGCCAAGGCAGCTTTGTGCTCACTGGTCCTGGGGCACAAGAGACCGCTGACACTTGGCTATTACTTGGTCAGAAACCAGGGCGCAGATCAAGACACTTCTTTCAGTGGTGAGGAAGGAGAAAGAATGTTTGACAGCCAGCCTTGGAATACCTTGCCGAGAGACCGTATTGGCATCCAGGCCCTAAGAGAACGGCTGGGAGAACTTCTGAGCGAAGTTACGGAGCGCGAATTCCCTGAACTTCGCAAGGATATCAAAAACCAGATTGATTCGTGCCATCAAGATTTGGTCCGCCTGGGCCCTGCACGCCAAACTGAACAGGAACAGCGTGCGTTCTTGAGTGGTATAGCTCGCCAGTTTCAGAGCCTCGCACGAGCTGCACGTGATGCTCATTATACAGAAAATGAAGCATTTGCAGAGAGTGATCTCCGGCTTCTCACTCACATTGTCAACTTTTCTGACAAATTCAGCTCAACTTTCCAGGCTAAAGCGCATCTTTTGCCCTTCGACTGCCCTACCTCAGATGCAGTTGACAAGAAACAACCATACAACGACATGAACAACAATCCGCACGGGAAGGGCCGCCATAAAAACTGCCCAAGGGGGAAACCCGACATGCATGCCCAGATGGCAGCCGGGGATCGCTTTTCTCTGGCTCAGCATGTAAACGAAAGCCGTGAAGGCCTTGACCCTAACAACTTCCCTGAGTTAGAGCAGATTGTCAGCCGCGTGGAGGGCACCCAGGATCCCGAAGGGGATATCAAAGCCTGGATTGAAAAGTTATATGCTGAGTCTCGAGGTCTTGATCTCGGGACCTTTGGAAACAATATTCTCTGCAATGCTTTCAAGGAGCAGACCGGCAAATGGGAAGCCATGACCCGCGGACACGTGAGTAATGTAATCATGGTAGTTCGCCGTTTTTTGAGTACGGCATTGGGAAAGATTTGCGGGAGCAAACAGCTCTATCACAAGATTTGGTCCAGCATTCTCGATGACCTTCTACAAAGATACAAGAATGCCATGTCCCAGGCGATGTTCCTTCTGTCCGTTGAGAGAAACCGCCGACCATATACGCTAAACAATTACTTCAACCACTCCCTCCAGAAACTGCGCAGTGCCCGTGTTGCTCAGGCATTAGAGGACAATGCCAGATATACAAATGATGATTGGTCAAACGCAGAAATGAAGGTGGTCGATCTGGATGCTGTCAAGAAGTCTGCGAGCGACCAGGGGAATGTGGAACATATCACAGGGGAAATCCATGACATCCTGTGGTCCTACTATCAAGTCGCACGCGAAAGATTTGTGGATAATGTTCACATGCAGGCAATCGAGCATTGTCTCCTGACTGGTCCTGAGAGCCCCCTCGAAGTCTTTAGCCAGGAATGGGTCATCAATCTGGGGTCGGATGAGCTGGGAGCAATCGCCGGTGAATCGCAAGCGATTAAAGCGCGGCGTGCCAACCTGAAGCAAAAGATGGAGGATTTGAAGTCTGCTCTCCAGACCTTGAAGTTCTGAAATTGTGATTTTGTGATATTTTGATGTTCTTTCATGCTAATATTTCTGTTCCTATGCGAACTACCATGCAGTAATAGTAATAATATTCACAACAATATGAATTGACAATCCTATTTTGACCTAGTGATGCACAACATAGAAAGGGGAGACTTGTATGCGGATGGATGAAAGAGGAATGAACCGAGAACCGGGGATGGTGCGTCATAAGCCGAAGGCGGTGTAATGCCCCTCCCGGTGAGAAGGAAAAGTGGAAGTTCACCAACAACATTCCACCAGACCATCTGAACCAAACTATCTATCTGCAGAAAGCCAAATCTGTAGATTGCTTTGGTCATTGTGAAATAGCCATCAGTGCGTGCTAACCAGTCGGGAAAAAGCTAATCCCTCAGCATACAGGTGGCGGGCTGGCATTTCACCAGTCGCGATACTTATCGCACCCCGTGCTCCGAACTACCCGGCATATGTCAGAATACACCAAAACACCAAGACTTCGATCTTTCTCCTGAATTCCCTCCCGTTCTCTGTTGTCGATCGCCTGTCCTCTGGCTGCAATAAGCAGATTGCTTTTGCAGAGCTGTCGTGGTTTCCAGATCCTCTCCGTCGCTCACCTGTCCGCACCGACCTTTGTCTTATCCCCGCCTTTGCCTGCACTGATGCAGTAGAACTCTTTGAACGCATTGATAGATATAAATCTGCTGGATATACATACATTTCAGTCGCATAACAGTGAACAATTGCTATACCTTTCAGTATGACGTCCGCTCCGACGCCAGAGATGACGCCCGCCGAGGCCGAGTCGGTCTACTTCAACAACTACCCCCCGCCCAAAGCCCTCCCGAAGCATGAAGCCCTCGCTCGAGCCTTTGTCGATTACCACGCCCAAGCGAACCGACGCCTTGTCCTGGTGACATCGGGGGGCACCACCGTTCCTCTTGGTTCGTGGGATGGCTCGTGCACGTGAGAAAGATTCTGACCGTTGTACAGAGAACCAGACTGTTCGCTTCATTGACAACTTCAGCGCGGGCACGCGAGGTGCTGTGTCGGCAGAATACTTTCTCCAGGAGGGATATGCAGTGATTTTCCTACATCGGCAATTCAGTCTGTTGCCATACTCGCGGCATTACAGCCACTCGACCAATTGCTTTCTGGATTTCATGGATGAGGAGGAACCGGTGCCTGATGCCACAGAAACCAACGAGTCGGATCACCGACCGATCAAGGTGCGCAGTGAGTACCAGGACCAAATGCGCGATGTCTTGCGCAAGTATCGTTATGCGAAGCGGAACAACCTCCTGCTCCTGCTTCCGTTCACCACAGTCTCGGAGTACCTCTTCGAACTACGGTCGCTGGCTCAGCTCATGAAGCCATTGGGTCCCAACGCTCTGTTCTACCTGGCCGCTGCTGTGAGCGATTTCTTTATCCCCAGCGACCGCATGTCTGAGCACAAGATCCAGTCGTCGGAGCTGCCGGACCACTTGACCAAGGACCAGGCGGTTGGCTCGTCGGACATTTACACGGGCGGGATTGAGCCGCAACCGTCATCTCATAGTAAGAAATTGATCATCGATCTGGACCCTGTCCCGAAGTTCTTACATCGGTTGGTGAATGGGTGGGCGCCGGATGGCAGTATGATTGTGTCGTTCAAACTTGAAACGGACCCCAACCTGCTCGTATACAAGGCGCAGACGGCACTCCAGCGGTATGCGCACCATCTGGTGATTGGTAACTTGTTGACCACGCGCAAATGGGAGGTGGTGTTCGTGACCCTGGACCCCCCGCACGAGCGCTGGATCCGGGTGCCGAAATCGCGGCGCAGCAAGAGCATTTCTGGCAGTGAGGCGCAGGTTGGTTTGGCCGAAGCCAAGCGGGCGGGCGAATCCACCCAGGCAGAAACCGGTGGGGGCGGGCAGAGTCAGAGACCGTTGGAAGACGAGGCCATCATCTCGGCTGAGGGAGTGGAGATCGAAAGTTTGATCATCCCTGAGTTGGTCAAGTTGCATTCGACCAAAATTGCTCAACACAATGCCAAGTCCTAGACATGGATTTTGGGTCGAGACACTCAAAGTGTGGCGTGCGAGAGGAAGGAGTTTCAAATGTGCGTTTCTGGAAGCATGACGAATGCAGCTAAACCTGAGGCAGGAGGGTCTTCTCCAGATAGATTAATTAGGGTCCTTCACTCGTTTCTACTGTGTAAGCGGGAGGTTTCTGTATAGTTAGTTAGCGTAGGAGATGGATTAACTACCGTGTCTCAACCACCATGCTCAAGACGTAACAGTAATTAGTGCTGCTGTCAGATTTAAACAATCAGTCCGTCCAAAGGGGCCAAAATGCCGGGTTTGAGGTGAACCAAACACACACCCACACACATTCCGCCCCTCCCCTTCTTTTCTCGTGTCTCCCTCATCCATTGTGGGAATCTCCTATGTTCATCCCTCTTCCTCCCCCCTTAACGCCAGAAACAGCATAATGATGTGATTGATCGACTGAGAGTTTGATTTTGATCCTCTCACCAAAGATGGAGCAACCTCGGAAGTTCTTCAACTTCTGACAGCTTCACCGGTTGACGGGTCTCGTCAGGGGCGGGTTTCAGGTTTGCAGCTCCTCAGCAATCCATGGTTAGGCGCCGCGAAGACCCCCAAGCTAAGCGATGGATCAAGCTCCATTCTCCAGTCAGACGGTGTCATTCCGATGCTAACGCGTCATCGACAGCTTAGGAGCCCTCCAGATCGCCGGCCAGCGTGGGCCGATCTTCGCCCGTCTACGTGCCTTCCTACGTCGCCATCTCCACGCCCTCTTGTCTCTCCGAACAATAATAATAACCATAACGTGCCTGGTGTCGATCTCGGGGATTTACTTCCTCGATCTTTTTCCCCTGTTGCTCTTACTTCTCCTCCTCCTTTCTCTCCTGTTCCTCCCTCTCCCCTCCACCGCCAGGGGACTCCGATCCCTTTGTCTCAGCCTCCTCCGTTCCTGCTTCTCCCCAGGAATTTCCCCGCCGGCAAATAACGACCGAGTGCTCTTCTCCCGAAATATTCTGCATTTTTGGCGCACAGTGACGACGAACGATGCATTGACACCTTGAAATCAGTCTGGAGGATTGCTCAATAATAATTTTTGCTTGTTTCAAATCTCTATTGCATTCAGCGTCTCGATCCCGCTCCGCTGCAGGTCGGCGACCGCTTCCATCCCAGCCTTTTTTAATTTCCCCTCACGGCGTGCTCCTTCAAAAATGGCAATCCGTCGATTTCGTCGCATCACCATCCTCTCCTCCCTCCTGGGTGTATTCCTCCTCTACCACTTTCTCTCCATCCGCCCGGAGCTCTACACCCGTAGCGCTACCCAGCTCCGCACTCCGCAGACCACCCCGCAGAGCGCTCCGAATGAGCCGCCCGAATGCCCCCCTCTCGAGGGGATCGAAGATGTCCTGGTGGTCATGAAGACAGGTGTCACCGAAGCCCTCGACAAAGTCCCGGTTCACTTCCAGACAACCCTGCGCTGCGTCCCGAACTATATCATCTTCTCGGATTTCGAAGAAGAAATCGAAGGCGTCAAAATCCATGACGCTCTCCGCACTATGGACAGCACTGTCCGAGACACCGTTGCCGACTTCAACCTCTACAACCGTCTCCGTGAACAAGGTCGCGCCGGTCTTGAATCGGCCGACTTCGCTGATGAGGCCAACTCCAACATCGGCAAGCCCAACAATCCGGGCTGGAAGCTCGACAAATGGAAATTCCTTCCCATGGTGCAACAGGCCCTCACCTACAAGAATAACGCCAAATGGTATGTCTTCATGGAGGCAGATACCTATTTCTCCTGGCCGACGCTCCTCGAATGGCTCTCGCATTTCGATCCCAAAGAACCCCACTACATCGGCACTGAGACCCAGATCGCAGACGTCATCTTTGCGCATGGCGGATCCGGCTTCGTTGTCTCCAACCCCGCCATGCAACTCGCCTCGAACGAGTACGCGACCCGCACCGTAGAACTGAACGAATACACCGACTGGCACTGGGCTGGCGACTGTGTCCTAGGCAAGGTTCTCGCTGACGCCGGTGTCACCCTGCGCTACTCATGGCCGATCCTGCAGAACTCCAACGTCGGAGAATTGGACGAGTTCGCCAAGGGATTCTACCGCAAGCCATGGTGCTTCCCCGCAGTAGCATTCCACCACCTGACATCCCACGAGATCCAGGATCTCTACGAGTTCGAGAAACGCCGACGCCGACAGGTAAGCCCATCCCCATACTCCCTGTAACCCAGGATACCCCCGCTAACACACAACCCCTCCACATCCAGGCCACCAGCAACATCCTCCTCCACCGCGATGTCTTCAAAGAACTCATCTACCCTGAACTCTCCAACGTCCGCGATAGCTGGGACAACCTCTCCGACGAGGAACACCCCAAAATCACCGACTTCCACGAATGCAAAACCCTCTGCTCCAGCTCCCGAAGCTGCGCGCAATTCGTCATGCGCGACGGCGTCTGCTTCACGGGCGAAACGCCCCGACTGGGAGTCAGGAACCCGACAGCTCGATCTGGCTGGATCCTCAGCACAATCGACCACATGATGGACAACGCGCCGCGCTGTCCTCATCCTGACTTTGGACTCTGAGCGTGTTTCCCTTTTCTTGAAATTCGCGGGACGAATTATCCCTTTACCATTATCTTTTCTTCTTCCTCAAAGAACCAAAACACACTCAACAATCAGAATTCTGATTCATGTGTGTTGTATAACCATGGGCTTGATTGATTGAGTTTGCTACTTGCCCAGTAGCATGCATCGTTAGTTGCATCGCATCGGCATACGTATATGTATATGTATACGCGATGCTGAAATGGCGTTTGGGAGAGGAGTCGGTGGTATTTTCCATTCCATTCTGTCTTATCTTGAGCATCTGCTTTTCTTCCCTGCATCAATACCACGGCGCTGGGACTGTCGGTACTTTCGTTTCTATTTTTCTGTACTTCACTTGACTTGACTTGTGTGTCTGCGTTCAAAGCCAGCATGGAAGCTAGCGTATATATATGCTAGCTTGTCACAGGTGTTTAGCTAGACCGAATCGGAAATATTATGAGATTAAAGCTAGCTGTGGCTCGTAGATGTCAAAGTATGGGTTTGGCAGAGTAGCTACACGCGTTGGTGATTTACCGGATTAAATATATTTTGAAGGCACTTGTGGATTCGAGCTGGCTACTTTCATACAACCGTATTTACAGCGGTTGGAATAACAGCAATAATAACCTCTCATAGTGATGCCTAAGAAAATGGATTTGATACAAAGCAGGGGAGCCAATAGAGGACAGAAACTAGGAAGGGAAAGGCACGGACACCTGAGTCAAGGGGCCGTAATGTTTAGAGGGGGAGCTTGTGGGTCTTCAAGGCATTGGTCAATGCGCATGATCGTTGCGTTCATGCTCTTCACAAATCGAATGACCTCACGGAAGTATTGCACCGTCGTCGGACTGAGGAAATGCATGACAGCCAGATTGCCCCCGCGTCTCACGTCTCGAATGAAGGCCTCGCGCTGCTTTTCGGGGGTTTTGGTATCCGCCCACAGCCAATCCTCAATATCCACACTCCAATTGATGATCTGAGGATCCTTGATATATTTTGCGAGCCGTTGACGGGTTCTCGCCCCGAGTGTGCCGAAGGGAGGACGGAAATAGCGACCTGTCAATAATCAGCGATGTTCTACAATGATCGTAACCAAGATTTACATACTCTCAATCCCAAGGATCTGTCGAAAAGACTTGATATTGTCCACAATTTCGCGGTCAATGGCTTCAACAGAATCCAACCCTTCCAATCTGTAATTACTTATCGTCAGTTCCTAATCGTAGCCAGATGATAGAGGGCCACTCACTTCCGATGCGTATCCGAATGCAGAGCCACCTGATGTCCTCGCTTCAACATCTCTCGGTAAACACTCGAGAAGTTGGTGTCCAAATCTCTCAGTCCCAGTCCTACCACGAAGAATGTGACCAGAATATTCTCCTCCTCGAGTATCTTCATCACTTCCTGAGCAAACCTCGGTTGCCCATCATCTATTCCAAACGCAAACGATCCGGGTCGGGAGCATCTCAGTAGCACACGACCATTGTCCACGCGACGTGGGATCGGGAACCCAGCGGGTACACTACCAGCATTGACAATTTCAACCTTGTAGAGAGTAACTGCTCCAGGTGAGAAGAAGCCGTTGAAAGACACCGATACGGCTCTGGAGTAATCAATGTAGAAATGCCAGAGAGGAATGTATATGTCGTTGCCGCGTGCATACCTGGCGGCCTCGACAGAGTCCCAGGTTTCGGGGAACGGGCTGCGGGTGGAGTCGCAGTGGATGTTATTCTGGGTGAGAGAAACGCTGAAGTTGGTATGACCGGTAAATTGAACATGTAAGTAGTGAGTTGTCCGGTAAGGTAGCAGGTTGAAGCATGTTGCTGGTGAGAGCTGCGTATTGTAGTTATGGTCGGGATCTGTTGGGTAGAAGCGGACGTAGTTGTGGCCATAGTCGATCTTGAGTCCTTCTAAGCCCCCGTGCCAGAAGCCTAGGGTGTTGTGATGTGAGTTATTGAAGGTATCAATGATTATAGGGGCGGTGAGATTGTAGGGGGTGCCGGTGGTGTTGCTGCTAGTTGTGTTGCTCGGAAAGAAGACACGAGTAGCAGCTGAGGTGGCGAAGGTTATAAGTATAAGGAGGATGACGGACTGCTTGCAGGTCACCATGATTGCGCACAATCTTGAGTATAGCCCACAGCTACTAGTATTTCTAGTGTAGGTTCAGCATTGCTGAATCTCCAAGGCATGTGTCACCTAAGTCTACGTGAGAGAGAGAAGTTATTTACCGGTTGGCTGCATACTACCCGAGGAAAGAGCATGTTGGTGCACCCGAAGGAAAGCGCATATCTAGGAATTCTAGCTCGCTGAAGCAAAGAAAGACTTTTAGTAGATCGATTACCATTATGTTAAGTCTCCTTACAGCAGGGAAATGACAATTGCTTGCCCCGCTCCCACCCTGCCTCCCAACATGACCCGCAGTTGGTAGGATCCATCAGGTAGCCCAGATCCATTGTGTCCATTCTCAGGGACAATCAGTTCCAAGCTCCTGTGAGATCCCAAGGCGAGAGATAGGCTGCAAATCGTCTCTGTGCCATGGAGTCAAACAATTGCACACCAGATCCTGTCTGGTGAATCATGTTATGATCTCTAAAAGGAAGAAGTGGAAGTAGACGCAATTACCGGATTCCCCACGAGCATGACCTTTCACTCACGAACATATGGCGTTTTCTCCTTTGTTTTTCTTTATTTCCGTCCATTTTCCTCTCCATAGCTTCGATCGAAGGAATGGATCTCCAGGCGATATGCAGGTAAAAAGTGGCGTGGCAAAGTCAGGACGTGGATTAAAACTCCCACTTCGAGTTATCCTCTTCGGCGTCATCAGACTCCATCGGAATTCCTCCTCCTCCCCAGGCATCGGTATTACCACCGTCGTCTTCCCCACCACTCTTTTCATCATCAGTGTCGTCATCAAACTTGACAACATCATCTGAAGGACGATAAGACTCGAGGAAGTCAGGCACAGTTTGTTTGTTCTCGATGAGCAGTTTCACCAGATCTGGAGCGAGGTCCGCATCATTGTCATGGTTGTAGAACGAGGTGGCAAGGCCCTCATTGCCAATGCGTGCAGTGCGTCCTGTAAAGTCTTAGCTAATGTCATAGTTTTGCCTTTGAATTGTGGGACGGTAACGCACCGATTCTATGAACGTATTCCGTGATACCACCATGCTGAACCCGTGGAAGATCAAAGTTGATAACATGCATGACATTCTTGATATCGAGACCGCGAGCAGAAACCCCGGTTGCCACAAGGATGGGGCACTTTGCAGTGCGGAATGCACGCCTTGACCGCATTAATATTGGAGCACGAGGTATGAAGGGTAATAACTTACAAGGCATCTTCCCGCTCACGCTGGGTGCGATCAGAGTGAATAGAGGTACTCGGGAGACCCATGTTGTAAAGGTAATCATCCAAGAAGTCTGCCTGGGTCTTGGAATTCACGAAAATCAGTGTACGCGAAGGCGGCATAGCCAAAAGCAGGTCATAGAGGCATTGCTTCTTAAGAGGAGGTTCAGCGTAGATGATCTTGGGAAATGCATAGTTAGTAAGTTCCTTGAGACAAGTGCCATGCATGCTTACGTTCTGGTCAACATTGGCATGAGTGCTGCCAGGCCTTCCGATGCGCACACGGACATGGTCTTCTGCAAGGTAATTGCGCGCCAGCTTACGGCAGTCCTTGTTGAAAGTGGCCGAAAACATCATGTAGCGGTGGTCAGCGTCCTCATTGATGTCTTGAAATCGTCAGTATATGGAAATGCTTATAGTTTCTGAAATGACTTGCCTCCTCCAGACATGATTTTAGCAAAGTCGGACTCCCAGTCAGACTGCAAAAGTTCGTCTGCTTCATCGATGATAGTGTACCTGCGGTCATGTTAGTTACATTCGCACTAAATGTGAGGAACCTACTTGACACGACGAAGAGAGAGAATGTGCGGCTTGTCCATGAAATCCAGCAACCTGCCAGGAGTCGCAATAAGGATATCGCAGCCACGCTGCAACTCCTCTCTCTGGTCACGAACTGGCGCACCACCGTACACAACGCAAGGACGGAGCATGGAGCGATAGCATAGGCGTCGCGCTTCATCAAAAATCTGGGTTGATAATTCACGGGTAGGAGCAACAATGAGCACCAGTGGTTCAGCCCGAACAGAATCGGCGCTTGGATTGTAGCCAGCTGCGACATTGGGACGCGGAGCTGCCAGCTTTTTAGCTTTTCCCATCAGCTGGGACAGAACCGGGATCAAAAATGCGGCAGTTTTTCCAGACCCTGCTTCTGTTAGCATGACTCTGCTATGTGAGGGTCTTCACCTACCAGTCTGAGCAATGGAGATTAAATCATGGCCAGTAAGGACCGCGGGGATTGAATATGCTTGAATTGGGGTCGGGAACTCGTATCTACACAAGCGAATATTCTCGCGCATGATAGGATGAAGGCCGGCATCATCAAACTAGACACTGTCAGCCGAATTCAATCGTGTGAGTACTATGACACGACTTACATTCTTGATGGGACTTGGTCTCTCACGACTTTCCGCGATGACCTCGATGTTTTGGATACTAATATAATTTAGACATGAATCGATAGCAAGTATAGTATTGCCAACTTACTTTCCGATCTTCAAGCCGGTTCGGTTAGTATATTCGCTGCGGAACAGCATCTCCTCGAGCTCAGGGTTCTGTGGGCCAACGTCCCCAAATTCATCCTTCCATTCATATTTTGCAGCTTGAGCAGCCCACTCAGGAAGCTCCTCCTGGTTGTCACCCTGGGGCTGATTGAGTGGCGGAAGAGTAGAAGTATACTTTTCGTAATCGTAGCCTTTGGGAGTCGTCCAACCCTTCTCGCGGGCAGCGTTGGAAGCTTCGGTAGGATTACTGGATTGATTGCCCGTGCTTTCTTTGAGCGCGGTGCTCATATCCGAGACGTTGAAGCTATCCATTGTTGGTCGATAGGGACAATGGCAGGTTCAAACACGCGTAACCCGAATGAATCTGGATTTATCTAGATGGAGACGGTTGGTTAGTGAGGGATAATCTTAGTAAGAAGTGGTGTTATACTTACAGAGAACGAGTATCGTCTCTAATCCTTAAAGTGTACCGAGTGCGCCTGAGATGAGAATTGGACTTGGAAAGAGGAGTGAGAGGGAGGATGTGAGGGGAAGTAAAGCTTTGGGAGATAGAAAGCTTTCTCAAACAAACGAGACGCGAGACGCGTAGGAGAGATGGCAAGAGCAAAACAATGACAGATAATGGAAGGAAATTTTATGGAACACAGTGCTGAAAATGGAAATTGGGTAGTGAATGTTGCTGGTCTGCAGGACTCCAGGTTGCCAGGGGAGAGAAGAAGAGTTGCGGGGAATAAATGGACTAGCAGAACAGCAAGCACCCCTCAGGTGAGCAGGTAGTAGTCAAGTCAAATTCATTTGATGCAGAGCTGGCATACAGAAGCCAGTCGGCTTTAATACTCCTGATTTCCTGCTTATTGTCGGCAGAACTCGCGGAACATACCGGCGAACAGCTATAAATTAACCTAATTCTCTGCATACAATAGGTCGTAAGGTTAAAGGTGTTTGTATGCTTATCTGAACGTATTATGTACCTAATTATAGATATACCAAGTGACTGTGCTCTCCATCCATTATATAGTGATATACCACAGTACTACTAGTATAAGGCCGCAGAAATCTAGAAGTATTCACAGATACGCAAGTTTCTACAAAAGCAGACTTTGAATACCGAATAAGCTTCTGGCCTAGCCTTTTATCTTTCAAATGATTTTTATACCGCAATGTTAGTAGTAGCTTGGTGAGAGTTGGTGATTTCTTGGTTCTAGACCACTGGTTCTTGGTTGGGTGTTAGTACTTTGGGTGAAGCAGTAGCGCGGTTTGGAGCAGGAAAAGAAGTACTACACAGTGACGGGAGACATATCCGGGAATGTGCATGACTAGTCACTGCTAATTGAACGTCACTCGCACACAGCAGTAACTGTTAGTATAACTTCTATACTAGTAGTCACTGGTACTTTGAAATTGCCGACAGAGGTCACCAGAAACCCGAAAACCGCAGGCATAAATCTCATTGACAAGTACATCGAGATCTTATGTTCAACGATCATCTGATAACAACCGAGTGGCCGTTTAGAATTTCTTAGTACTACTAGTAGACCCTCAATATGTGGGGTTTCATGCCTGAGAACTCCATGTTAGTGCCTGAGGTATCAACTCGGCTGGGCAACGTCATTGGCCACCCCCTTCCATCCTCCGAATTGGCTGGATGCAGTGTATCCCTGCAATGAACAACAAGACCGGCGATTCTGCAAGTACCAACTCACCGGGAATCATAAGGATTGCTTTTGTTTGGATCCCTTCCGCCCGTTGTCTGACCGAACTTGTTCAGGAGCAGGAGTTGACTAAGAATGCCCAGCCCGTCAGAATAATAATTCGGTTCCACCCGACCTCAACAAAAGCGGGCAGAAGGAGATATACGCCGTAGGGACCATCACGGGATCCCATTACTCCGAGATGGTAACTACCTCGTCCGCCGGTACGGCCACCTGCTCCTTGCTGTCCATCTAATTCCCCTGGTCCCATCGCTCCATTCCTCTCTGTATTTTTATGCCATTGACACGACATGTCCTCGTCCACATCCAATTCCGCCGCCCGGGGTGGTCGCCTGGAGCAGGCCATCACCAATCCAGGATCCGTCAAGATCAACGTCAAGGGCGCCTTTATCGTTGATGATGACCCACGATCTAAGAGTCCCGTAAGAACTGACGGAGTTCATTACGAGGGCCATGATATTCGTCTTCCACATCACACTGGTCTGGTGAGCCATGTGGCTGTAGACGTGAGTGAACTTTCTTTTTTTTTTTTTTCTTTTCTTCGCTGCTCCCGCGGTTCCCCGCACAATTTTGAAGCTCCCCGCAATCGCACCCCTCGGCGCAATACCACCACCACAACTTGATTGACTAACTCTTGCTACCTCGATATTAGATTGGCGGATCGCTAGCGAAATTGGTTTACTTCACACGGGAGCTGGACTCTGTCGACAATGGCGGTCGACTAAACTTCATTAATTTCGAAACATCCCGCATTGATCTGTGCATTGACTTCATAAAGCAACTGAAAGAGGAACACGAAAAGCTCGGCGGGCCATCCGGAGATGCTTTATGTGTAATGGCTACGGGCGGAGGCGCCTTCAAATACTACGATAAGCTCAAGGAAGCACTCAATGTGGACATTATTCGGGAGGACGAGATGGAGTGCCTTATTACGGGTATGCTGCAACCACAAGCTCACTTGCAACGGAGACAAGCAAAGTCCAAGTTTTGACCATTCTGCATAGGCCTTGACTTCTTCATCACTGAGATACCGAACGAGGTCTTTACCTACAGTGAAACCGAGCCGATGCAGTTTGCCGAGGCCCGACCGGATGTTTACCCGTATCTATTAGTCAACATTGGCTCCGGTGTATCAATGATCAAAGTATCAGGTCCCAAGCAGTTCCAACGTGTGGGCGGCACACACCTCGGTGGCGGTACGTTCTGGGGCATAATGTCATTATTGACCGGTGCCCGCACCTTCGACGACATGCTGGCAATGGCGGACCGAGGGGACAATAGCGGGGTAGACATGCTGGTTGGTGACATTTACGGCATGGATTACAGTAAAATTGGTCTCAAAAACACTGCAATTGCTAGTACATTTGGCAAGGTCTTCCGTATGAAGAACCAGACGGAGCCGGACTTGGATGGGGAAAGTTCTTCCAACGGCGAAGCCGGCCGAACTAATGGCGAGCCGAAGTTCCAGCACGAAGACATGAGTAGGAGCCTACTTTATGCCATAAGGTATGTTTTTTTCGCGTCTTCAATTACACGATATGCGGCTGGGACTAACGTTTCATAGTAACAACATTGGGCAGATTGCCTATCTGCAGTCCGAAAAGCATCAAGTGAAACACATCTACTTCGGCGGTTCGTTTATTCGCGGTCATCGGCAGACCATGAACACCTTGTCCTACGCCATTAAATTCTGGTCCAAGGGCGAGAAGCAAGCCTACTTCCTGCGCCACGAAGGCTATATCGGTGCAGTTGGCGTATTCCTCCGTAGGCAGCCAGCTAACTGGGGCCGGAGGAATAGCATCGATGAGAAAACCATGCCGCAGGTGGCCAAAATGGTAGCCGAAGCGCAGCAGAATTCTGATCCTCAGAACCAATCATGATGAAGAGCCACGACTGCATGCTTCCGTCAGCATCATACTGGGCGAGCCGCGTCCAGTTCCATCATTTTGAGCGTTTGATACCCGTTACTGTGTTATTCTTGTGCTGCTTAGACCCAACATATTTATGCCCCTTTAATTCTTGAGGCTGCCCCGTTTGAAGACATCTTTTCCCTGCATTGATTAAGATGAACAACGATAAGAGCATGTCACCCAATTGTATAACTGTTCGGTTTCCTTGTGTTGCATTAACTCCATTTTCTCTTTCGGGCTTTTGTTTTGAACCCGACCATCCATCTATTGCCCACAAAGCACAAGGCAATCGCGCTTGGATGTCCTTGTTCGGTGCCTAAGTTGGAAGGCTTTGTTATCCCGTTTGGTATAGAAGGACAAACCATCATAATAGCATTTAGACAGAAAGCCAATATTAAGGAGACCAGGATTTTCGATGATTTCAATATATTGCAGTCATCATCCAATATTCCGACTGGCGAACCTACAATCATACTATCGGCCATGGCGTAACCCTACCACCTAAGCCGAAAACCTATTCCAGCCAGCTTATCTCTCCTCTCTCCTATACTTCAATATGCGTCTTATCCTATGCACACTAATCCAATCGGAGCTCCGTCACATCTCTAACCACCAAGCCAGCCATACTCAGATAGTAGGTCGCACTAACCAGGACGTAATGGTAGTCAGAACTCAACCTCTGATGCATTGGATACCAGCCATTTTCGTACGCGTAACACGTCCAACACCCCCCAGCAAGGACGCTCTTTGGCTATGTTTCAGATTCCCCGAAACATGACACCAGACTATATATTCAGGTGAAACCATGCCGCCTCGTACTTTCAATCTTTTTTCTCGGCTTGAGGTAGTTGCCTGATCTGTCCACCGCTTCAGTTGTGGTTACTCACCGATAGGTTGGTGACTGCTTCTTGTGGCGCAAAAGTTGTGTTTGGTTGTGCTGTCGTTGGGTGTGTTGTCTGCTATGTGGTTTTGTTGTTGTATATCATGTTGGGTGTGGCAGCTCAAATGGTCCTTGATTGATGACTAGGTCATTATGATTATGTATAGATCGGTCACGCTCGTTCCGAATCCTGTAGTACTAGTTACCCTCGCTACAATATATGTTTAACAGTAATGCGTTCCGGTTGAAGGATGACATGTTCAGCCTGCCGATTCATCGGGCAGAAAAACTGCAAGTAGTAAAGTTCATTCCAAACAGAGATAGCCAATATTAGCCCGGAAGAAAACAGGCTTGCCCACCCAACGCCGTGGTGTAGGAGAAGAGCAAACAAACCTCCGTTCGTATTCTGCAGTGGCCAGATGCAGTCGGCCGCTAGATCTGCGTTTGGAAGGCTGAACAGAGTAGTCTAGAGTGTCTTGGCGCGAATTTGTCTTCAATTGCAGAGAAACTGGGAAAAGTCCATGCTCGGATGTTGTATCTGCTTTTGGACTTTGTGCGCGTGGGTCAAGATGAGTAAGTTAGAGTTTGATGGGGATGCGTGCATATTTTCCCCGGACTATCCATCCCGGGGTTATTATGAGCTGAAGAAGAAGGTCCCGTAATGTAATAGGAACATTCACTACCAGCTGGTTATCAGTTGAGGTGAGGCAAACTGTTCCATTGGTGGTTTCCAGAACGCGTCAGGAAATACCGTTTCATACCCCGGGGGGTAAAGTACGATGGAGTGTGCAGAGCAGTGGATTTTCTTCACTTCTAATGCACTGAGCTGTCATAATCTTCTCGGTGATCCACTCTATTGCATTTCACGGGTCTTCAATTTCACGTTGGAACTGTGCATGTGCATTGATTTCAAACGTCGTGACTCTGCTCTGTTGCACCCATACCTTCTGGAAACTGAGACATTGAGTGCAAGCTGCCTCACGTTTGTGCACTGAGTTGTTGGTCTCAATTGAATTGAGCTTTACACTTGTACGGAAGAGTCCGAGCTTACCTACTCGATATTAGAAATGCTAATTGGGAAAAGCTTCACTAGTCATACTCAGACTTCATACTATTGAATTGTGAGATCATAACAACGGTGATTTGCGCGGGTGACAAGGCACCTACCATTGCTTGAAAGTTTGGACGGACAAGCCACATTATGTTTAAGCAGCTTCTCTGGTATGAAAAATAACCTAACGAGAAGAAGGCCAACTGTCAGACGTCTTTAGAACCCTCTGAGCTAGGTATAATCAGCGGACGTGTCTTTGTTTAGCAAACGCGCCAATTCCTCCAGGAGTAAGTCAATTAAACTAAAATCATTCGAGCACGCTCTCTTGACTTGCACTGACCCATGCTAACCTTCGCGTCCAGACTAAATATGAACCCTGCAGACGGCGCCGTCATCTTCTGGAAGGAAAGGTAAGATCAATTGCTGCTTTTGGATACATGCTGGCTGACAACTCTCATGCGTCATTTATAGGGTGAGGCGCGCCTCTCGTCACATCGTCCGCACTGAGTCTGACGACGAAGAACAGAAGCCAACAGTCTCTGCAGATGGGTCTCAAGCAGGCGATAACGACGACGGCCAGGTGGTGCACGTCAACCCGAAGCCAGAGCTGGGACCTGACATTCCGTTTCCTAGTTACCTGATGACAATTTTGGAACATTGGCATGAAGAGAAGGGGAACGAATATCCGAGGTGCAAAGTCAGTGGACGTCTGGGATCGATGGTCTGGAAAGTGTTTGATCGGAAAGGCAATGAGCTCGAGCTGACATGGTACCTCGTCACAAAACCGCGCAAGTACTGTGTGCTCGTGCTACATGAGGCGAATGGCACAGCGAGGTTCGTCTATTGTGATCCGCCTCATCGCACTGTCCATGGCACATACCTTAGGCCATGGTCTGGCGTCGATGATAAAGAGGAGCTAGAACACTGCGCAGTCCGAGTGTTTAGCAGCGACCTGGAGGAAATCGAATACTCTTCGGAAGCCTGGGAACATTTAAAGGAGCTCCAGGATTCCTCAGGCGAGGATGTTAGCAGATCTCCTTCGGTCACCCGTCGCAAGTCCCCAAGAGATAAGACAGCCAGAAGAAAATCAGTGGGGGCAAGTTGCTCAAAACGGTACTCTATGAGAGGTCGCGCACAGGAGAGCGAAGAGCATACGGAAGCGGACTCGTCATCTTCATCGGAAGCAGGTTCATCATCTGAAGAAGAGAAGTACGTGCCCTCGCCACCACACAAGCGGCACAAAACTACCGACACCAGCAATACAAGCAACACCACTGAGCCTATGAAGCCTAGCAAGGTTGTATTTCGCCTCGGGTCCCAGAGAGTCATCGGTGCGATACGCTATATTCCACTGGATGAATGTAGGTCGAGGAAGGAGCTATTTGATAAAGCCACGGCATTTTATCAAGCTTGCGATAGAGACGCTCAGGTTAAGATACTGGCATGTCAGATCTCGACACAGCGTGAACAACACTACCTGTTCGAAGACAGTGATGGAGAGTTTCGCCTCTTAGTTGAGCAGGCACTGGGCTTGGTGGACAACTTGGACCGGATTGTGATTGACGTTCTGCACGTGTTACAAGCATGAGTGGGAGTGTTGTCGAGACTCTTGTGTCGTATGCTATCATTCAAACAAATTGTGAAATATTTCTATCAAGATACATAATTTAATTGGCCATTTCTTTTCCCGTGTGCAATTCCATCTCAGAGACACGCATTCGTCCAGAGTAGTATAGCTGACTAATCACCACGTGGTTGCAGGCCTGAATTGGGATGGGATTCGCGTCACCGACCAGCGCAATTGTGTCTTCAGCGCCAACTATAGATCCATCACATCATGCTACAAGCATGAATCCCGCTGCTCCTCCATGCCTTCCCTGCCCGACTCGCCTCCTCCGGTTCCTCCCCCCGTTCCCGTCGAGACCCATCCGAACCGCACGGTTGGCGTGAAGCCTACCGCCGCGCAACGAGATCTCCCGGATCCCAACCGGCTGGCCCCTGAAGATGCATATTACACCTCGTCCCTGCCTCGGGCTCGGCCGACCCAGACGGGGTACGATGACTCTCTCCGAGTGCTGAATGGCAATTCGGGCACTGCTGCCTCCGTGGCAGCCCTGCGACCGCCGCCCGCGGTCCCAGGAGTAGGGAGCCGCAAGGTGCGCGGGACCAGCAGACGGAGACGACGAAAGGGTGCATGGAAGAAGCTGCTGTGGGTGAAACAATCATGTGCGCTTCATACCCATTGTGAAACATATCTGAGAGGAAATGCTCACTGGTTCTCTTAGACCCGGATAACTACACTGACACCGAGACGTTTCTTGACCACCTCCAGCGGAATCCCCGAGTGCGGCCCTACGATTTCTGGCCGCTAGTGGCCGACTCCACGGTCATTGTACAACATGTTAGCTCTGTGGCTATATTTGTGTGTTGCTTTGTCGGCATTGTTCAGGGCCGCGTGAGCCCAGTCTCGGTGGTCTGCTGGGGAAGTGTCGGGACAGCGTTGGGATGGATCTTTTGGGACTCGTGGATATTGAGAGAGCATGTGGAAAATGCGCATGTGGCGGAGCGGTCACTGGAGGGTGACGATGGCTCCAGTTCTAGCTCCATGACCAGCTCTGTCAATCCATCTGGCACTAGCTCGCGAGCCAATGGCCAGAAGGAGAACCAGGTGCATGGGCTAGGGTTGAACATGTCGCAGGGCGAGTCAAGTGAACTTCTCCAGCGACACAGCACGGGGTATGTGAGTGATGCCTACGGGGCACAGGATCCCGCATCGCCTGCGCCTGGGCCTGCGAACGGAGCCCTGGGTGGCGGTTCTGGTTCTCAGGAGCCAGACTACTTGTCGATGTTTTCTTCGCGGAATCGGCAGCGGCTGTCCACTGTGAAATCGGCGTTTTTGATCTACTTCGCGCTGCTCGGGCTTAGCCCGATCCTCAAGTCTCTTACCAAATCTACGGCGAGTGACTCGATCTGGGCCATGAGTTGCTGGCTACTGATCATGAACATCTTCTCCTTTGACTATGGAAGTGGGGAGGGCGCAGGCGCCACTAAGTTCCCGGCTTCTCTGTCCACTAATGCAGCGGTGATGGCCTCGACTGTGTTGGCGTCGCGCCTACCTTCTACCACACATGTGTTCAGCCTGATGCTGTTCTCAATTGAGGTGTTTGGGCTCTTCCCCATTTTTCGCCGGCAGCTGCGTCATGTGTCATGGACTGGGCATGTACTGCTGACCTTGGCTCTGGTCGGGGTTGCTGGCGGCGCGGTAGGGATCACCCTGCGTGGAGGATGGATGGCGGCGGTGGTTGGCTCGATCCTGGGGAGCATCCTAACGGCGCTGGCCATGGGGGGATGTAGTTGGTGGCTCATCAGCTTACAGAAGTATAAGAATGTGGTGACAGGGCCATGGGACCCTGCGCGGCCGATCATCCGGCGGCATTGGGATTAGCTGTACGCTTTCTCGGTTTTATATTTCATTTAGAAGATACCCTACAGTCTAAACTCAGACTTGTCTAGCGCTAATAATGAAGTTTAACTTTGACACCCTCCTTTGTACGATTCAGCTCAGATTAGAAAATAAAGACACAACACCCTGATTGACAAATAGATGTAGCTTTTGGTGTCTCATCCGCCAATGCAGCCCAGCCAGCCGGTCACAATCCCACCAAGGCCCCAACATGCCGGAATGTTGTTTGGTATGTTTGTTGCCTTTCGTGGCAATTCTCGATCGCAGCTTCCCCAATCGCCATGTTGTATGTCTCAGCAAGTCACACTACCCTCATTCAAGCTATGCTATAACTGGAAACTAGTGTTTCTGCAGCCACGGACATACCTGGCCTCCATCTCCGCGATCGAGCATCCACCCGGCATCTCCTCCAGAATGTTGCGGCGATGACCCCAGACTGATCGGAATGGTAGGAGTCGCCATCTGTCCCTCATAACGGCAGGCTCCGTTCAATAGGCAGCGAATGGTGATACAAGAGGTACATACATATTTAGCACCACAGCCCGGAGTGACTCAAAAGAACGCGCACCACCACCACCACCACCATATATACCTCTGCTTGCTGTCTCCGGGTGGAACAACACAGAACAGACCCAGAGGATCAACGTATCAACAATCAGCAATATGAGAATAATCGCCCTTGGCCTGATGGGCCTACAGTGCGTGGCGAGCATGCGGTTCGCCATGTACGTCGATGAGTGAGTACCAAAAACATCCTCCTCATCCTACCTCTTTCTATACGCATCTAACAAAACTGGGGAATTAATCTAGGTACCACACAAGTGGCCTCCCTGGCTCCAACCAAACTCAAGGCATCACGCACGCTATCATGGCTTTCGCCCAGTCCACGCTCTTCAACTCCAACTCTCCTCCACAATTTACCCCCTTCGAGTCTGTCTCCACCATGCGCAGTCGCTTCAGCCCGGGGACTAAGCTCATGATCGCTATCGGCGGATGGGGCGATAGCTCGGGGTTCTCAACGGCCGCGAAAGATGAGACTTCTCGCAACCAGTATGCGAAGAACGTAGCGACTATGGTGAACCAGCTTGGTTTCGATGGTGTTGGTATGTCTCCATACTCTTCCTCGCTATCTTGTCCCGCAACTAGTATTGACCGAAATGTATAGACATTGATTGGGAATACCCCGGCGGTAACGGCCAAGACTACAAGACAACACCGAACAGTGCTAAAGTATCTGAAATCACCACCTATCCCTTATTCCTCCAAGCGCTACGAAGTGCCCTTGGCCCCAACAAACTTCTCTCTATTGCGGTCCCCGGCAAGAAGGAAGATATGATCGCCTTCACCAACACCACAGGCCCGCAGATCTGGCCCTCGGTCGATATGGTGAACATCATGTCGTACGATCTCATGAACCGCCGGAATAACGTCACAATGCACCATACCTCTGTTGTGGATTCGTTCAATACCGTGCAGGCGTATCGGGATATTGGCCTCCCTGGTAATAAGACAAACCTGGGAATGGCGTATTATGCGAAGTGGTTTGAGACTGATCCCAATGATGAGAAGGAATGTGAGGATCAGCCGATTGGGTGCAAGGTTGTCGTTATGGAGAACGCAGATGGGAGCGATAATGGAAAAAGCGGGAGTTTGACGTTTGAAAAAAGTGTTATGAGTGCGCCTCCG